TTTTTTGCGGATGAGCTCCTCCAAATTCTCATAAAAAGCATTTGGTTTCGAGTTATTAGCTGCTGATGTTGGAGAATAGCAGTTGATGATGGAGATGGTTTTCTGCTGCAGAGGATGGAGTGAAGGACAGCCAGACGATGTGATAGGATGTTGTTCGAGTCGACAAGATGGACAAGAGATGGGTGCACGACAAATCCGTCTCCAATATCCGTAATAGAGCTTTCTCACCACGAATGATGAGTGTGCCATCATTCAGCTGTCTCACGTTCGTCTTCCTAGACTTTGTTTCCTGCAGGGCGATTTCGTGGAGTTGATGCACCCCGTAGCTTCAAGGCGAGCATGAAGATCGGCGTTAGAGGAGGTTGTCCTGGCGTTGTAGGTGCATGAGAGTTGACGTGTCCTATTGGTCCAAAATCCATAGCGTTCTGTACAACCTGACACCGTCTTAGAGACATCCGATGCCGTTGCTGTGATCCAGTGTGCAGGGCTTCTTTTCCTATTACATGCTGTAGAAGCAATAAAACAAATACCCAAACTTAGCAGCTTGCCAGGTTCTGTCACGCTTTCACCACAGGCGATTGCGGACCTATATGGATCAGAAAACCATCTAGCGACTGAATCAGCCAGACGGTGGTGCTTCTGACCTAGTCTTAGCTGGGCATGCGGAGGACCGAAGGCGTCGAACTCCTTCTCAGTTTGGGAGACTCTGCTTTATGATAGACCTCCACTGTAATTGCAGCACTTAGAGTCACCGCCTGCGCACGAAGAGGGGATAAACTATCACAGGGGGTGACTCTGGATGTCATCATCATTAAAAGAATACCCTCGTGGAGATTGAACAAATTACGAAGTCTCCTTCCTACTGTAGAAACGTGAAACCTGAGAAGTACGCAGCACTATTTGCTTACTTACAGGCAATCTTTGAAAATCCTGCTACGTCGGATCCGGGCACCTTTTGATTAACATTGAGCTTTACAGGATGTGTTAACTAAATGAAAAGGCAAAAATGTTGACAGTGACGGGAACTGAGAGTAGGGGGGACCTCCTCACAACGAAACGCAGCTAGTTTACATGGTTTTCTCATAACTTTTGATATAATTTGAAGTAAGACGGTAATATGGCTAATCGAAAAGGACGTTTTCCACCAAGTTGGATGGATTGTTGTGAAGTGGCTAAGAAAAGCTGTAATCACCTCTACACATTGCACCAAAAGATGAGTACCGTTTATAATAGTGTCGGCGCAAGATTGAAAATGGAACGAAATTTTGTGGCAGTTGATATGTTCTATTTTATCCCATTTCAAAAAAATTCTCACCGGGCGTCTTTGAACGCTGCCGTACGCTGGTTCTACAGTATCCGCGAAGCGAACACGAGTTCCTGGCGATCTGCTGCGCTCACGAGCTGGCGAAGTTGTTCCCGATGCACATTTGGCCGATGTTGAGGATGAGCTAAACCCAGTGTAGGGGTTAAAAACACGCGATGGCTGGTCGGTTGGCGGCGTATTCATATTGTAGGGTTCGTATGCACGCGTAGATGTTCCCGTCGTTTCCCCTTCAGACCGCATTCGATTCTGCCTAAATGGAGATGATACAAGTCTAAGTGCAATAAAAATTGCTCATGAAGGTGAATTTATGATAGAAGATTTATGTGAGTCTATTCAGCTCAAATACG